CTCTGTCTCCCTCCTCTCTCCCTCCCTCCTCTCTCCCTCCCTCGTCTCTCTCTCCCTCTTTCTCCCTCCTCTCTCTGTCTCCCTCCTCTCTGTCTCCCTCCTCTCTGTCTCCCTCCTCTCTCTTTCTCCCTCCTCTCTCTCTCTCTCCCTCTCTCTCCCTTTTCTCTCCGTCTCCCTCCTCTGATATGATATGTCTCCGCTTCCGTGGCGTCGCAAAAAAACACTTTACCCTGTACTGTCTGATAAAATGTCACCTTAAACGTCACAATGAACAATTGTTTCCGCTATGCAATTATACTGTTAACCTGGCTAGGCTTCGTCGTCATTGAGGAACAGGTTTTTCTGCCTCAGAAGAGCAGATTGTCGGTGTCAAGTGAGGACACACTATACATGTACAACCTTTACCTTTCAAAAAGATCAGATCGTCGGCATTAAGTCAGAACACATGTACACACCCACAACACAACAAGCTACACCCTCTCTTCTGCCTACCTTAGCAAGCAACGTCTTTGTATAAAAGAAGCAGATAGAGAGTCAGGATGGGGTGAGTGAGTTTTTTTATTTTTATTTCAAGACGTGTAAACCTTAACAAACTGGTGGTTGTGCCTGTTTTGGGAGTTAACTGTCTCACTATGTATCACGTTGTAGACTTCACTTGACCTGAGTGTCCTTGGAATGGTTTCTTTGTGTTCAACGTGCACCAAGCTGTAAACTGCGCACCAAAATATAACATCAGATACAGGTACAGGTACGAGTACAGTGCCAGTCCAGAGGTTTGGGTACCGGTATGACGAAAGAGTTTTCAGGTATCTTATTTTGAAAAAAAATCCAATGCTTTCCAAAAGACTCGTCAAATCAGAGATGTTTCAATATGCCCTGATTTCAACGCCCCACAAAATGTTTTCATCTTCTTCAGTACTAAAGTTTCATATTTGTGGTAAGAATAAATGCAATTGTGTAATTCAATACAAGTTATATACTCCAGTGCAATATTCACACTAAGGTACGTAACGTTATGTGTATGTATCAATACCAGTGCATTGGTGTTTCGGTAGTTGCGACCTGTGCCTGAATGATTTACTCTTACTGTTCCGTTAGAACAAAATTTAGCTGTTTACCTTTTCCTTGCTTTTAAGTAATATTTAAACAACTTACATGGGCGTTGAATTGTATTGATTAGTCAGGTATCTGTCCGCACAAAAAACTGTTATATGTTATAGAACGCCGCGGGGTGTCTGCTGATTCACGTTTCTACCACGTCTTGTATCTTAACACGGTTTTCAATTAATTAATAAGGAGGTACAATTTTAAACATACTTGAAATAATCAATTAGATACAACGTAACTGTAGACCTTTAGTTCACCCAGAATACCTTTCATGATAACGGCTATGTACACATAGCTACGTTTTTTAATTAGTTTCTCATATTTGTAGCCTTTAATTCGTAGTTGAATATGACTGCAAAAACCTTTTGCAGTCATATTCAACTACGAAAGACGACCAAGAAGAAGCCTTATTACGTTTTAACGACTATTTGTTACAGGTAAAACTGCCGCGCTTAATTGAGCCTTGGGGGTTTGTAGATCAGTGTAAAATAACAGCCACGACAAAAGTTGCCCATGCATGTACTAACCGGTATGATGGTATATAATGGAACAACCTGTTAGTTTAGAATATTCATTAACCAATGTGCACGAAAAGGACCGAGAAAAACAGAAAGAGGGTTACATGAGATGATAACAAATATTATAAAAACATGTATACAACCCCAAAGTAACCGTTGCCTTTGATATCTTAAGAAATTGTGGGTTTTAGTGGAACGTTCCCGTGGTCGTTCCTTTTTGCCGGAATAACGTCGCTGGTTACTCCCGAACTGTTCAACTGACAGTTTAGCCGTACAATGTACGTACCCTGCGGCATTCTCAGATTATTTTTGGCTTAATCTGGCTAATTGCCCGTGAGACAGGCAGCTTTTATGCTAGAGAAGAAGTCACCTACTTTTGTGCCTCATAGTTGCTTTTTGGAACTGACACACAAGCTTGTTAAGATAACAAATTATATTCTTGCGTGCTAGGGAATGCGTATATGCATTTCAGTTTGCGATATTCACAGAGCGCGATCGTAATACTACAAGAAACGCCCATGCCCTGAGGTGTCGGGGTAAGAGGTCACTTTATACACGTCACAGTGAGCAGTTCTCCACGCATGTTGGCGTGGCTTGTCGGCGTGGGGTGTGTCATATTGTCGTCACTGATCAAGTGTTTTTTCTGGTTAAAAAAAAGTATAGTTCGTCTGCGTTAAGTCAGAACACATGTACACACACACAACACAACAAGCGACACCTTCACCTTGGCTACTTGCCATCCAAAATTCGTGACCCTTACATGTCCAGATGACGAGATATCAAACCTGAAGTTCTGCTGCAGCGTCATAACAAGCCACCAGGGGGCCAAAATCTAATCATTTCGAGGTCTCAGTAAGACCTACCCACCTATACCAAAGTTAAGAGAGAGCCATATGTCAACGTACCTACGTCATTTTAAAATGACATCATATACATGTATCTGTTTTTTTTTTTCGTTTTACAGGTTCCGAGTTTTTCTACTCCTTGTGGCGATTCTTCCGATTAACGATGCAACTTATAATGGTGATTTGTGGCATTTTTTTTCTTCATAAATAATCTTCTGGGAAAGGAATTTTCTTTTTTTGGGTGTTAAGGTGATTCCTAAGTCACTTAGACACTTGACGGTTAGTTTCACCGATAGAGTACTTGACATTTTTTATTTGCGATAATGACTTTATGTTTGCAGCTTGAGCTTGTTCAGATATTCGTAGGATAAATTGTCCTAGTAATTACTAAACGATTAAGTGGAGTTGGGTATTTCACTTCATTTTCCTTAAATTCTATATCACATAAACTAAAAGACTTATTTTGCATTTTTATTTTTGTAGTTTATAGCTAACCTTACGAAACTGTCGTCTTCTCATTTTTACTGCGTCAATAAGGCTTCTATCCTGTGTATTCTTATTTTGAAGTTTGTAGTTAACCTTACAAAAATGGCTTTTCTTTTAGCTGCGTCAATAAAGCCTCTATCCTCTGTGTTTTTATTGTAGTGTATTTTTCTTATAGTGTTTATTTATTTCTCGAAAATCGCTGCACTTTTAGCCTCTACGCTCCGAATTTTTATTTTGTAGATTGTAGTTACCCTTACTAATTAGCTGTACTTTTCGGTTCGTAATAAAGCCTAAGTTTGTAGTTTGTAGTTAACTTTGTAAATCTGGCTTTACTTTTAGAACCGTGAATAAAGCCTCTATCGTCCGTCCCGTCCCTCTTGTTCCAGGTCCCTGTCGACTGGTGAGGCCAAGTTACCTCCCCCCCGAACTGTGGTCGACAGGTCCGGTGGACAGACTCCCTCCGTGTGTGAACTATGACGTCTTGGAAACGGAAGTCACGAGCCTTGCCGACCGACTCCCACAAACCCTTGCGGAACTCGGCTTGGGTAACATTTTAACAGACCTGGAAGAACTGCTTGACGCTGGTACAAAACTGCCTCATTTATAATTTTTTTCTGAGTAATCCACGGTGCTTACATGTACATCTTATCTAACTATCTCTCTGCCTTTGTCTGTCTATCTATCTGTCTGTCTCTCTCTGCCTCTGAGACTCCCTCTCTCTGTCCCACTCCCTCTTTCTCTGAAGCTGTTGGGGGCTCCAATACTAGTAAATATTTGCAACTAAAAATCAGGAACATATCAAGTCAGCACCATAAGATCCATGATCTCATACCTTACTCCGCAAAATACTGTTAACCTTCACAGCTGGCCTATTCTAAAGCCTTGTTCAGACGAGAACGGTGGAATCGCGATTCGGGTAAATCTCATTGGTCCACGTGCAACACGTTCGTTCGAAATCGTGCCCAAGCACAATTAGGCTAAACTACAATCATTGGTGTTTGCTGAAAAACGCAAGGTAGCGTCGTATCAACGATCTGTTTGCTGATGCCCCCTCCCAGCTTACCTCGGCCAAATTCCGACGTGGTCTACCAGCCGCGGTGGAGCTCGTCCTAGAATAGGCACATCAAACTTCCTCCCGACGTGGTTTGGGCCGAGGCGGTTTCAATGTGATTTGGAGCGTTCAGATGGGGCCACTTGAATCCTGCCTCGGTGGAAGCTACATCCAATGATGTATCCAATGAAGATCCGGCCAATCTCACTGACCGCACAGTTTGCCAAGATCTGTGAGGGTTTTATCAGCACATGGATTTTTTCGGACATCTTCCCAAACGTAGACATAAAGCAGTTTGGTAACATGAAGCGTTGCTCAACGACTCATTGTCTTATAGACCTCCTAAATTTCTTCTATGAGGGAGCTGAGAGGAAAAGCACTGTTGGCACATTAATACTAACTGACTTTTCGAAAGCATTCGATAGAGTCTGTCACACCACTGCCATTAACAAACTTATATCCATGGGCACAAGACCCTCACTGATCCCCTGGCTCTGTAGTTTTGTGTCAAACAGAAGGCAGCGTGTTAGGTATCAGGACTCTATATCGAGCTGGGAAACACTAACGTGTGGAGTGGCCCAAGGTACTCTACTGGGCCCACTGGTGTTCCTCGCCATGATCAATGACGCAAAACCTAATACTAATAATCCACACTGGAAGTATGTCGATGACATGAACCTGGGAGAAGTTAGAACTGTGTCAACCCCAACTAAACTTCAGACTGACCTTGACTCATTGGACACCTGGGCCGAAACGAACTCCATGTTACTTAACCCCAAAAAATGTAAAGCAATGTATTTCTGCTTCATGAGAACCCCCCCAGTAATGCAGCCACTGACTCTCGGAGGTCAGCCACTTAGCATAGTTACACAAGCAAAGTTACTTGGTTTGCACATACGCTCTGACCTACGGTGGTCTGATCAAGTTGACGCCATGGTGTCCAAAGGCAGTAAAAGGTTATACTTATTAAGTAGGCTGCGTCGAGCTGGCCTCCCAAGCTCTGACCTTGTCACAGTGTATTGTGGGTATATTCGACCAATAGTTGAATATGCCACGCCCTGTTGGAATGCGGGTATCAACAAAAAAACAATCTGACAGCATAGAAAAATCCAGAAAAGGGCATGCAGAATCATGCTGGGTAGAAGCTATCACTCGTATTCCGAGGCCCTGTCAACTCTTGACCTCCAACGTCTGTCTGAACGGAGACTGACCCTGTGCCGGGCCTTTGCCCTTTCAGCCACTAGGTCTAGGCACGCCCCCTGGCTACCCCCAGTTAGTAACCACTCACACAACATGCAGCTAAGGCAAACACGGCGCTACAAACCACCCATTGGGACAAAAAGATATTTATGCAGTCCTGTCCCCACAATGCTGAACATACTGAATAACCTTGCCATACAGTAGATTTCATTTTATGTTGTTGCACATGATGTAATTGTACTTTTTTATTATTGTCAGTTGTACCTAAGTAATTTGCCAACAGAAGTTGTATGATGTAGTTTTAGCATAAATGTGTATTATTCTAGCGTATAAGTGGTGTTTAATGCCTCTCAAGGCACTTTTTATGTATATATATTATGTATTAGTCATGTAATTTTTTAAAAATTTGTAAAAGCTTCTCAATTCAGCCTTTGGCTGCAAAAAGCTTCTAACCTACTGTACTATGTATGTATGAAGTATGTGTTTCTGCAAATAAACCAGTCTACAATGCGATTTCATCGCTTTCGTCTGAACAGGGCCTTAGTTAGGGTCAATTTGCATAATATGTAACAAGCTACAATAACCCTCTTTAAGCTTTGTTAAGATAATACTTTCCATCTTCGGGCAACTAGTGCCATGGGAAAGAAGATCATCAAATGATAATATTTATGCAAATGAGGCAGGCTCTATGAGGACCTAATTTGCATAATGACAATCCTGACAAATATGTCAGGCTAGAATTATTTGGCGAAGGCACATGACTTTGGCGAGCTGCTAGAAAGTATGAGGTGGCGTGTTAGTTTCTCTTTTTTGTTAGGTAATATTACCTTGAAGGGACCAGCCGGGCCGATTCATATCGGGAATGAAACATCCCAACATTGGACCAAGATGGGGCTTGTGACTAATCTGATCTACAACGTGACGGTTGGTCAGGAGCAACTTTTCGCTTTCCCGTCCCCGCAGTTTGACAACCTTACAGCAGACGATACCCTTGAAGGTTAGCGGTCATCTGTCAATAGCAAAATTGTATACTGTTGATTTATTAAACTTTTAAAAAGGCTAATTTCTCTTTAAGGTAAGGGTGAACGCACTGTTGCATGGTACTAAATCTTGGGTTATCTGCATCACCATGTTCACCTTACTTAATTCTATATTGTTGATTCTATTGTAATTTTTTAGCAATATGAAGATAGACTTAGATAAACTAGAGATCTTTTAGTTTCGTCGTTTGTTATTTGTGTTACTTTTTTTGTCTCAACCCCAACCTACCTAGTAAATATCATAAGGATACATGCAACAAACCCTGAGATATAACAGATTATTTATAAAACATCAGCAACTCCTATATACAGTGTACCTAAGACATAACCTTTTGACGAAGGTAATGATGGCCATTTTTAAGTTTACATTGGCACTATTTATACGTATACTCCAATCTATTTAACCAGAAACGTTTCCGTCGATCCTCTAATTCTTGTCAAATACAATCACGACACAGGTCCCATTCAAAGTCTCCAGGACGACATAGAAGAGTTCCCCAGTACCTACCCTGATACCACCGCCGAGGCAATGCCGGACCTGGTACAGGACTTCACAGAGCTGCTGGACAGTTTCAACTGCAGCACCAGTGGCCCCAACTGTAACCTGACACGCGGAGAGGAGCATGTTGTAGGGTTAAACGACCGCTGGACATTGGTTCAAAGGCAGGGCATTGAGTATGAACCTGGGGACATGAGGAGACCCATACGAATAGGCAGGGCTTACGGTTTGGCTTATCGTGGTTTCCGATGGATTGTAGGTTGCATAATTTACTGACAATTTTTGCGCGGTGGTGTGTCTTTGTGTGTGTCTGTGTAATACCACTTGCCTGATACCCGAGTGTTTTCCATCTAAGAAAAATAATGCATAAATGAAAGACAGCTTTCAGTTCTTTGGGATAGACAGCTCAGTAAAGCAGATATTTACTCAATGGGATGCAAATAACGACTTAATTTGCATATTCAATGAACACATTCCTTTGTTGTTCTAAAATAAGAGTTCAATATATGTAACATATGCAATATATGACATTCCAGTTATGAAAACGGGCATATTTTATACAAAAAGTACACATCTTTAGTGTAAAATGGGGGGGATTTTAGAGGCGATCATCACATTATGCATGAATTATGTAAATGTAGTATTTACTTAATTGGTGACAGAATATATATAGTATATATATATATATATATATATATATATATGTGTGTGTGTGTGTGTGTGTGTGTGTGTGTGTGTAGTTATTAGTAACTAAACAA